CAAATAAATAAATAAAATCTTTAAAAATAAAAAAAATAAAAATAAAATAAATTATAGGCCATGTTGGAAAGTCATGATGACTGAACTAAAAACCCTAATTGTAAACCTCCTGATAGCGAAAGCAAAGAGGAAAATGCAAGTGGACATGTAGCCTTTTGAAAAGACACTACCTCAACAGAGAAAGTTTTTCCAGGCTGAGCTTTTGGAAGAATTTGCAACCAGGTTTTTTGTTTGATTCTAGTGAGGAAGAAGGGAATGAGGGGTGAAGGGAAATAAATGTGAACAAACAAACCAGTTTCTCAATATATCAAATAAAAGTTTAACTTTACAATGATATATCTTATGGTTCAAGTTCACTTTTTTCAATTAACATATACTTTGTGATTAACTTAGGAATGATCTTGGATTAACTATTACTCTATCTGCCTACTCGAGAGGCGTTTCATTTTCAATAGGACTGTACAATTTTAGGAATAGTGCTTTAAAGCCGTCTTTGCTTTGAATTTTTCATATAAAGAGAGACTGGGTTGTTGGCAAGACTCATAGCCAGAGTCGATTAATGGATTCCTTCCAAAATAACCATCCTATCAGGCCTACTCACTCTTACCTCTATGCCTTTGGGCTTAAGAAAGAAACATTTATAAAGTAGATAAGTAAAACAAATGCAGATTGATTTGATTTAAATACAGTTGTAACAACTTCCAAAGCTTTTACATATGACCTCTCTTGAGGAAAAGAACTTACGGAGAAAACCTATTCTTCTGTTGCTGCTTAACACATGGAAAAAAATGCATTTGAAATATCTAAAAACTATTAAAAATGCTAAGACTTTTTTTTAATGTGGTAAAATATATATAACATAAAAGCCATCATTTTAACCATTTGAAGTTTACAGTCACATTGTTGTGCAACCATCACCATACTAATTATTTTTTAATATATCCATAAGCTACATCCCATTGTGTTAGAGTAGGCAGTTAGGCTTTAACAGGCCAGCCAAGAGGGGGTGTGTGTGTGTGTGTGTGTGTGTGTGTGCGTGCGCGTGCGCCACCCCCCCCACCCCGCGTGTCATGGCTCACTACCGCTATCAGGGAAAGTTAGAGACCCATCCTGGCTGTGCTCCAAAAACAAAGCCATAGAAGCCAGATCAAACCAGATGGACCCAAGACAAAGAAGGCCAGAGATCCTGACCAAGAGAAAAGGTATGAAACACTGCTCCCAAGAAATCCCCTCCCCAAGGAATAAGTATTCCACCCCATAGTGAACAACTGTCAATAAAAGACAGAAACCCAAACCCAGGATGCACTCTCCCTGAGCTTGCCCGCTCTCATATCTTAACAGTGGACTCTCACTTTCATAAACTTTCCTACTTGCACACTCAACTGTTGTGTCTGGTCTATCCTTGAATGCTTTCTTGCAAGGAGACCAACAGCATTCAGCAACATTTTTGGGATGGGCTGGGTCAAGGCCGTAGGGCCCCGGAGTCTCCCCAATTCACCTGGCAACAATTTCAGCATTAACAAGTCCATATTGGGGGCACCTGGATGGCTCAGATGGTTGAGCATCTGCCTTTGGCTCAGGTCATGATCTCCAGGTCCTGGGATTGAGCCCCGCGTCGGGCTCCCTGCTCAGCGGGGAGTCTGCTTCTCCCTCTCCCTCTGCCTCTCCCTCTGCTTGTGCTCCCTGTCTCTCTCTCTCTCAAATAAAGAAACAAATCTTTAAAACAACAACAACAAAACAAAAATGAGTCCATATTGTTTTTCTAAGTATTCTCTAGAACTGAAATTTAAATATTTTCTTATCTAAGGAAAAAACCTGTTGACTACATAAGAGAGGCAATTCACAGTATTACCATAATCGATTTTCCAACCTAAGGTTTCCATGACATCAGCAAACTATGTCCTAAAAAGATATGCCTACCAACCAAATCCAATGAATTGTTCTAATAACTGTACTAATAACTGAACTCAGTCCACAACCTTGGATATTTGGAAAAAATGCTGAAATGTGTAAGATAAATTGCGAACACTTATTAACAGTAAAATGTTATGCGACTCTTTTCCTATAAAGTAGTCCCATTGTGGCTCAATGATACAGAGTAAGGGCAAGAGTGGGCCAAGGAGCAGGAAAAGAAGTTGTATTATAGAGATTCCAGAACCACACATAATTAAAAGCAAACCCCAGGGCACCTGGGTGGCACAGTTGGTTGGGCATCCAACTCTTGGTTTTGGCTTAGGTCATCATCTCAAGATCGTGGAATTAAGCCCTGCATCAGGCTCTGTGCTCAGCACAGAGTCTGCTTGTGATTCTCTCTCCCTCTCCCTCTGTCCCTCCTGCTTGTGCTCTCTCTCTCTCAAATAAATAAATAAATCTTTTTTAAAAATTTAAATTTAAATTTAAAAAAGCAAACCCCTCCATAAGGGTTTTATGTTTTACCCTTTAGAAGGAATTTTCTAAGTTCCTTGCTAGGCATTTCTAAGTAATGAGATATTAACCTGCTACCTCCTTTATAAGAATGAATTTATAAGAGTAGAGATTGGAATTGGTGATAACTAATTGGGGCAATTTGGCCTCGGCATCATATTTGGATTTTAATAAAAATTTCTCTTTTTTCCAAGTCATTTCAAATTATGAGATATTAATTAATCACAGACTGCCTAAAAGCAACATTTATTTGTTTTAGGGAGTATTTATTGTGACTTCATTGGAATAAATGATATGATCTTTTTCTCTTGTCAGTAGATCTCTCTCGTAATCATTAAAATATGCCTGCTATAAATGGGGGGATCTCCATATATACAATCAGCAGCTGAAAAATTCTTAGTCAAGCAATCTTGAATTTTTTAACTTTAGAGGGCATCTTCAGTTCAAGCTCATATGCACAACGTAAGAGTTTCATCTTTACCATAAATGGAAAGTATGCTGGCTTACGTCTTACTTACTGGGTTCTGATTACATCAATCAAACCTAAGTGGCTACAATACAGTGACCATTAAACAAACGTCAAATGAATGAGTAAATACTCCAGGAAAGAGACTTCCTGGAAGAAGGAGTTACCATTATCTAGAGAACGGGAGGCATTTAAGGGAAGGTGGGCGGTTAGTGTATGTTACTCTCAGAAATAACAGGAAAATCAAACTGCTCCAAAAGAACACATACAAAAAAGATTCAGATATAAAAACTACATCAGAGATCACAATAGTTCATACTTTATAACATTCTTAAGTTGGAAGCTTTTTGGGGTCACATTTATTAGTGATTAGCAATAAAAAGCCTCAAAATAAAAGAATAAAATAAATAGGTGTATGGCCACAGGGGCAGCAAGAAAGAGAGATCTACCTTATGGGACTGCTGGGAAGGAGGAAAGGAACCCCAGATATAAGGGTGAGTAATGCCAGCTTTAACCAGAAACAGACAACACAATGGCATAAGACGATGTTTTTTCATTTTGTATTAAAACAGAGAGCATGGCACACAGTAGCTGTTCACAGAATGTCTGCTGAATGAATGATTCCTTCCTACCACCCCTCCTCCACTTCTTCTTCCCTTCCTCCTATTTATGTAGCCCTCTTCCTTCCTTCCCTCTCTCCTGTTCTTCCTTCCATCCTTCCTTTTCCTTCCCCCAGTCCCTTCATTATTCCCTCCATCATTCAACATCCCTCCATTTCCTCTCCCTCTTTTCCTCCCCACAGCCTGCAAAGTCTAAAGGATCAAGAAATTCCTTGACAAGGGTCTTAAAAACCTTTCAGTTTGCCCTCTTGAAACCTATTCAAGATATATTTTAGTTCTAGGCGTTGAAAATAAAATGAACTCTGGCCTCACTTCCTACTAAGAGAAAAAAGTCCACAGAGAGAATGGATGGATATTGTTAGCAGAAGCTGTCTTTGTGGTTCCCTCCAAGGACAGAAAGGTCACACTTCGCAGCACAGGAATTAGCATAGTCCTACCCCGAGGACGCCAGAAAGGGGTAAAAATCACTTTTAGATCAGCCCCTTGTTCCTAATGGATATTTGAAAACCAATCCCCACGTCGTTCCCCCTTTCCCACCTCCCCGCAAAGTGGCTGCAACAAATACTTTTGCTCCCCACCCGAGTCCCTTTAGTCTCATCCTCCAAAACGAAAGAACCGCGACTCAATTAATCAGTCTCTTACCCTGCCAGGAAAGCTAAGGAGTAGGAGTTGTTCTTAGAAACAAATGCCGAGCGATGGGTCTGTGTCATCTTTCCTCGGGAAGGTTCTTCGTTCTCTGAATCTGAGAGGCGCGCAGGACACTGGCAGGAGACAAGGGAGACAACACTGTCTATTTGTCCATTGTTTCACAGCTACTGTAGGTCCTGTCTCTCAGGGAGCACCCATGTTTCCAACTGCCTCTTGGAGATCCCGATCTGGGTATCCCAAATGTAGCTCAAACTTAATATATCCAAAATTCAATTCACTCTTTTCTTCTCTAAGCCCCGCTACCAACCCAGCTAGAAGCCTCAATGTCATCTCTCACTCTCTCCTTTCCCTTTCTTCAAAGTGACTTAACACTGTATGGAGGTTCTGAATACACCCAATACTTCTCGATACTTTATTTCATTTGCGCTTAATATCAGCCCTATTTTAAGAAAGGATGACCTGTCTTCTTCCGGTGGCAAACTGAGGCTCAGAATAGTTAATGTGCCTAAGACTGTAGAGTTAATAAGTAGCTAACACTAGGGATCAAGAAACACTTCAATCCAGAGTGTCCATCTCCAAGCTGCCTCCATGGCGGTTCCACTCTACTCCTAAAATGCGTTCAGATCTAACCCCTTCCCAGGTATACTCACTGCCACTGCCTCTCCTTAGATTCTCATCCTCTTGCGCCTGGACTGCTGCAATCATCCACTTACTGGTCTTGCTCTCGCCAGCCTTCCTTCCCTCTAATCCTACCATACTGCCAAGCACACAGATAGAATCCTGTTACTCTACTCTCCGGGTACCATCATAGCCTTTCAAAGCCTCTCTTCTGGGCACGCTATTCCCTTTGCCTGTAACTCCTATTCCACATTCTTTGCCTAAAAAATAGTCATTGGCCCTTCAGGGGCATCATATATGCCACTTTCTCTGCAAGGGCTTCTAAATACCCCTAGAGTCAGCTTTTTCCATCTTGTCAATACTCATTCAGTTACCTTCATTTTATTTTAGACTCTTTTTGAGTCTTTCAATTTACATTTGAAGTTTCTTTATACGCACTTAGAAAAGAAGTCTAGAAGGACAGTTACCAAAATGTTCATAAGGGTTATCTCTAAGTTGTTGGATGATGAGCAATTTTTCACTTTCTCTTTGCTATGACTCTAACTGTTATACCAAATTGTTTTCCAATAATTCACACTGTTACTGGTATTAACTGTACCAAAACAAATCATAAGTTGTCATGTCTTTTATTTCCACTCCAAACTGATAACAACAGATGGTAATATCTTCCTCTAGAATAAGCACTTTCCTCCCTCCATTTGAATTCAACTTGATAAACATGAATCAAACACTTATGGTATACAAGATACTGTGGGAGATTTTAAAATAGCTAGGACACATTTCCCTTACTCAACAAACTTATAAATCTAGTAGAGAAACACAAATACACAAGCTTAATGTAATGGAGAATGAAATAAGTCCTGTAAATTTACAAAGTTGGGAGGGGAGAGAGTAGATGGGAGGAGTGGAGAAACAAGTGAGGAATCCCTACAGGTTCCAGGAAGGTGACTGCTTTTGCACTGGGTATGGAGGGATGAATAGCCTTTCAACAGGTAAGCAGAGTGGCATTTTAATTAGATGAAAATGCAACAGCAAAGACTCTAAGGAGGAAAAGCATAAAGTTATATACTTGGGGGAACACAAACAGCTCTGTTCCCTAGAATTTAGGGGCATGAGTAAGGATGGGAAGATCAGTCAGAACAATACTAAGGACCTGAATGTTGGGGTAAATAATTTTCATTTAATTCCATAGGAAATGGGGAATCACCAAGTCTTTTGGTGCAGGAAAGTAAAATGATCACTTCAGCTCCAATCATATTGTTCTCTATATAAAATACAATCCTTCAGCTGGCTTTCCACTGAGCCTCTCTTGGAGGCTCTCTTTGGTCCCAATTTGAATGTAGTCTTGGCAGACTAAATGAAATTATTTTTCCAATACCAAAAACTCTTAAGACATATTTAAAGCAAAATCAGAGCCCTTTAAAAGTCCTCAAAAAGACAAAAGCAAACAGAAAAAGAGGTACAATCACAAAAATCTAAAACTTCATTCAATGTGTTTTTGCATACAAAATTTTGTGAAACTACTGCAAAAAAAAAAAAAGTCTGAGGATTTATACTTCCTGATTCCTTTTAAGATTACAGTTAACGAAAACAATGAATCGTGGATCACTGCATCAAAAACTAATGATGTATTGTATGGTGACCAACATAACATAATAAAATTAAATTTAAAAAAAAGATTACAATTAGGTTACAATTCCTTTCAAGATTATAAAATGCTGGTAGCGGCAAAAGAAAAAATAATTAGAGCCATTTCCTGGCCTTGACATGAATTAATACTAGAGATCATTTCCTAGAGGAAACTTGGATCTGGCAAGGCCAAAAACAGCAGGTTCTTTCTATCAAAGGACCCCAGCGGAGGGTAAGCTCTCTTTGTCAAGATCGGCTTGTCCTAAAGAGAAAGGTCCTTCTGGGTCATTTTGCCTAAGGGATCTAAAGGACAGCCCTGTTGGGGTGAAGAGGCAGAGTTGTAGTCTAAAGATCACAGACCACAGTTGGGGCTATTAGTCAGAAAACACACTGTACGCACAAAGCTATCACATTTTACTCTTGCCTTCCTAGCTAAACTGCATCCTCCCCAGTCTTTTTCCTTTTGTAGTTCCCAATGAACAGAGCATTAAGAGTACGCAAGCATTTCATGTTTGTTAAGTTGAATCTTTTAGAAGGGTGAAACCCTCCAAAATGCAAGTGGTTACTTTTAACAAGAATTAAATAATAACAATTATTATTGTTATAACTGGGATCAAAAATACACAATTGACAGCAGCAAATACCATGGATCCAAGAAAGCTTAAATAATTTCATTTCCTCAAGTTCAGGAAAAATGCCTTTGCAAAGAGTGAAACAAAAGCACAGTGAAATTAACTAACCTGGCCAAAGTTGTACAGTCTGTTACAATGCTGGACCTGTTTAAGGAGCCGAATCCTGGTGCAGAGATTTGGTTTTCCCCTATTCTATGCTGTCTGTCTTATATACAGTAAAGCTTTATTAATCCCAGCTAATTAGAAAGTTAACCTGAAATAGTAACAAGTCTAAATCACAAACTATTTTAAAAGATAATGACTCTAAAGCTATCTTAAGTACACACAGCAAGCCATAGAAAATGTCTGATCCAATATGATGTACTAAAGAAAAAAACTCAACTGTAATTATCCATTTGAGTATCCAGTGGGCCTTCCAAAAATGCTTTCTTACATACATTAAATATACCACTTATAACCTTTTCCAGTAATTCGCTTGGTAAATAAGTAATGAAAAAAATTCGGGTAAGACTTGGCAAGATTAGAAGTCTAATTAGAGTTAGTTTAAACTAAGTAATCTAATATTGAAGATCTACCTTGTATCTAGCAGTGTGTTGCTTAAGGCATTAAAAAGAATAGAGGGAAATCAAATACAAGCTTTAAGGAAACCTAGTTGAGGATATAAGATGTACAAAACTCAAATGTCAAATAACAACACATAAGTCAAAATGACAACATATGTATCAAATTTCCACAAGTAGTATTCTATACTAGGTATTTCCCCCCCCTCACTCACCTTTTTCCCCAACTGTTCCCTTAATCTTCCCACACAACTCTATTGTCCCATTCATGAATCATTCTCTCCAGCTCCCATCTGGACCCTAAGTTCTTCACTCCTGGTACACTACACGGTCAGCGACTATTACTGCTCTCACAGCTCACCAACACAGGTTTTCAGACCCGTGTCACCTGGGCTAATGACTGATTTTGAACCAGCTGTCCATCAGAACAGTGATCTACTTACATGTTCCAGATCTGTCTTCAGTACTAGTGGCTCATCTCTCTTTTTCTGGTCATCCATTTTCCTTTTCCCTGTTTCCGTATCCTCCGATAACAGCTTGTGGATTTGATCTTCAGAGGTTTTCTCCTCTTGTAACTTTTCCTCTCTCAGCTAAAAATACAAATCACACCGAGAAGGAGAGTTTTAGGCAGACTTCAAAACATCTTTTAGTCAGTAGTCTATCAGAACGAACAGATCACATGGCAGTTTCAGACGATTTTTCTTACTAGATATAAAGCCCTCTTAATTTTTAAGTAAGTCTGCTTTTACTTGCTTGACTCTTGCCAAACATATACTGCAGCAGGGCTTAAGATTTAAATGCTCTGCATTCTTGAGCAATATGAAATGATAAAAGCTAAGATAATACACATAATCAAAAAATAAGATTTATTCACTTAGCCAAAAAGCTAAGATAATACACATAATCAAAAAATAAGATTTATTCACTTAGCCAAAGAAGGTTGAACCTAAAAACGTTCCTTATTCCCATAAACCAGATATAACTGTATTAAGTGAGGAGAAGAGCCGAGATGTAGGCCATAGAAGGCCAGAGAAGCTGGGCGAGGCAAGACAGGTCTTCAGTCCTAGAGGCAACAGAAAAAAATTATCACAGTTCCAAGGTTCTGCAATTTATGCTATTATCTTGTGGTCCAGAGGGCAGGTCAAAATACATGGTTTACAAAGAAATTTAAGGCAGAGGCCTATGCTCCTAAATTGGGGGAGGCAGCAGGGCGGTATGAAAATAAGATGAACTTCGGAATAAAAACCTGGGTTCTGGTGGTTCTGTCATTTAGTTAACAGCTATATGATCTTGGGCAGATGAAGCATCAGAAAGGATCAGATGCTCACCTACAAAATAGGGATAATGCTACTTATTTTGCAGATAGTTTTAAGAAATAAATGAGATAATAATATGAAGTACTTAATGTGGTGTCTTGCTGTGTACTTATAGTACATTAAGAGTTTCCTTTCTTAATCTTCTTTTATTCTCTTTTCACTGCCTGGGGTTTTAATAAAACTTAAACGCCATAATGTATATCAAAGCAATTACAGGCTACTAATATTTTTAATCATATTTGCAAAAAAAAACAAAGCTAAAGAACAAATATTTTTCATTGGCTGTTGCCTCAGGGTTAAAAAGCAAAAACAATAACAATATACAACAATTAGATTTAGTCTTATCTTTCCAATTTCTATAGGTTTGATTCCTACAGGCCTGAATTAGTCTTTAATACACTGAGTCTAATTGGAGAGGTTACGTATATACAAAGAACACCATACACAATGTTATGTCAGGAAGAGGCTCAAATGAAACACTGTACTCCCAACTCCGCCCAAGTCAAACAAGAACACAAAAGGAACAAAAGCAAATCCATAGCCAGGGAGAAAGCAAACCTAAAATCTATGCTAACTGCCCACGTGAAAACTCAATGACTTTTGATGATATTAGATGAGAAATTCTTGTTCAACAAATTGACCACAGGCTACACAAAGGGGCATTTCTTTTCAGAGCATAAGGAGGCGGAGTGGCAAAAAAGAGAACACGTTTTAGCATCATAAGAATTGCTATCATTTATCGAAGTCCTTGGTGTCAGGTGCTGAGCTAAGCATTGTATATACATTGCCTCATGTGAGAAAACTAAGTTCTAGGAGTTAGGTAATGTGTTCAAATTCACAGAGCCATAGTCCTGGAGCTAGAATTCAAATCTAGGCTTATCTCAGCGGTTCTCATCCGAAGATGACTTTAGTCCCAGGGTACATTTAACAATGCCTGGACACACCTTTGGTTGTCACAGCTGAGGGTGTGGGGGGTGGGTACTACTGGTAGACAGTGGGTGGAGGCCAGGGATTGCTACTTAACCTCCTAAATACACCGTATAGCCCCCAACAAAACACACACACACACACACACACACACACGTGCGGCTATTGTTTTAAACTATTAAATTTGCTATTGTATATATTTTAGTGTTTTGTTTAGTGCTTAATGGTGTTTACATACTATGTCCTCTGGTTTTTCCAGTGTTTTAAAGTGTATCCTTCTGCTTCCTAATAATACTTATTGCTGCTCTCAAAATTTTTGACAATGAACTCTGACAACAACTATGGCTGATAAAACCACTTTTTCCATTGCAATGTTGAGTCTCTAGCCCACTGTCATCTTAACACAGCTAAAAATTTACAAAATTGAAAAACCCACATATGCATTTAAATCTTCACATGAATCATGTTTCTTTCTTCTCTATACTGGGTTCTATAAAAGTTAATTTCTTGTCCCTTTTGATAGCTTTTTATAAGGACTTGAGAACTTGGTCTCTAGGAAAGAGTTTTCATATTCAGGGAAAATGCCTCAGGGCATGTCAGAAAATAGCATATACACTCGAAAAAGAAATATCAATAGCTGCTCTGTACTGAACTCTTCTTTGTTCCTGGCGTTAAGTTTATAGAGCTATCCTCATTTAAACATTAAGGACTCTGTATGTATCCATCATTATCATTTTGTAGACACAAAAATTAACACTTAGCGGTTAAAAGTCGCAGAGATTGAATACTAAAGAGCTTGAATTTTAAAGCAAACCACTGTCTTCAGATACCAGGGTTTCTCAACCTCAGTACTTTTGGGCCACATAATTCTTTGTTATGGGGAGCTGAACAGAGTAACATAACAAGGAAAGAAAGCCAATAAAAGTGGTGTGACAGTTGGTCCAGTAATTGGCTACAGAAGACAATATGAGAAATTGCATGAAATGCATCTCAAGCCTGCCGGTCTGAAGTGAGAAAAAAAAGGGAAGCATATATCTATTGACTCCTACCTCCCATGGACCAAAGTTTGCTCTGCAGGGTGTTAAATACCCCTCACGCTGGCTTGTACAACTTGAGCAAGTTCCCAGGGTGGGCACTGCCACAGCAATAACAGAGGAACCCAATTCTAACAGCAAGAGGCAGGCAGTAGGAGCTAAACCAGATCTCAAGCTGCACCAAAGTGAAGCTGCCCACTACTGTAAATGGAATGATTTTTACTGCTTCCGTTTTTAGATGCTAATTATTAGAGAAAAACTATTGACTTCTGTACATTCATCTCATACCCAGTCACACTACCAAGAAATACCATGTAATTTTTTCCTGAAAATATCTTTACTTTGCCTACTAGTTTTTTAAAGATTTTATTTATTTGTCAGAGAGAGAGAGAGCACAAGCAGGGGGAGAAGTAGGCAGAGGGAGAAGCAGGCTCCCCGCTGAGCAGGGAGCCCAATGCAGGACTCGATCCCAGGACCCTGAGATCATGACCTGAGCCAAAGGCAGACGCTTAACCGACTGAGCCACCCAGGTGCCCCCTTCAATTGTCAAAACTAGTGCACCTGGGGGCACCAAAATTTGTTGATCCATTCAAGCGTTGTACATTTGGGTTGTATTTAGTTTGGGACTATTATGAATAAAGCTGCTAAAAAAAAACCATGTCTTTTACAGATGTAGTGAAAAGAAGGGCCATATGCACCCCAGTGTTCATAGCAGCAATGTCTGCAATAGCCAAACTGTGGAAAGAGCCGAGATGCCCTTCAACAGACGAATGGATAAAGAAGATGTGGTCCAGGGGCGCCTGGGTGGCTGTCGTTAAGCGTCTGCCTTCGGCTCAGGTCATGATCCCAGGGTCCTGGGATCGAGCCCCGCATCGGGCTCCCTGCTCCGCGGGAGGCCTGCTTCTTCCTCTCCCACTCCCCCTGCTTGTGTTCCCTCTCTCGCTGTGTCTCTCTCTCTGTCAAATAAATAAATAAAATCTTAAAAAAAAAAAAAAAGAAGATGTGGTCCATATATACAATGGAATATCACTCAGCCATCAGAAAGGATGAATACCCAACTTTTACATCAACATGGATGGGACTGGAGGAGACTATGCTAAGTGAAATAAGTCAAGCAGAGAAAGTCAATTATCATATGGTTTCACTTATTTGTGGAACATAAGGAATAGCATGGAGGACATTAGGAGAAGGAAGGGAAAAATGAAGGGGGAGAAATCGGCGGGAGAGATGAACCATGAGAGACTATGGACTATCAGAAACAAACTGAGGGTTTTGGGGGGGGATGGGTTAGCCCAGTGGTGGGTATTAAGGAGGGTACGGACTGCATGGAGCACTGGGTGTTATATGAAAACAATGAATCGTGGATCACCACATCAAAAACTAATGATGTATTGTATGGTGACTAACATAACATAATAAAATAAAATTTAAAAAAAAATCACCTGTCTTTTTGTGGACAGATGTTTTATTTTGACTGGCTAAACAGATACAAGTGGAATTGCTGGGTTACATAGTGAGTATATGTTTAAAATTATAACGCAATTGTCAAAATGTTTCCCATTGTGGTCATACACTCCCACTAGCAATGCATGAGAGTTTCAGCTGATTCATAGTCTCATATTCATTCTCACTCATGGAATTGTTAGCCTTTTAATTTTAGCCATTCTAGAGGTTATAAGGGGCCATCCCATTGTGGCTTTAATAACTATTTATCTGCTGGCTAATTATGCTGAGCATCTTTTCATGTGTTTAGAAGCATATCTTCTTTTGTGAAGTGTCTTGTCAAACCTTTCACTCTTATTATTTTTTTTAACCTTATTGCTTGCCAGGTGCAAGAGCTCTTTACAAATTCTGATACAAGTCCATTATTAGATAAACATTTTGAGAATATTTTCTGATTTTTTTATTTTTATTTCCTTAATAAGTAAAAATTTTAACTTTGAAAAAGTCCAATATATCAATTTTTTTCTTTTGTGATTAGGATTTTTTGTGTTCCTGTCTAAAAATCTTTGCCTACCCCAAAGTCAAAATTTTTTCTTCTATGTCTTCTTCTGCATAATTTTAGCTTTTAAGTTTAGTCTATGACCTATTTTGAACTAATTTTCGTATATTGTATAGAGATCAAGATTCACTTTTACATTGGGATGCCTGGGTGGCTCAGTCGGTTAAGCGTCTGCCTTCGGCTCAGGTCATGATCCCAGGGTCCTGGGATCGAGTCCCGCATCGGGCTCCCTGCTCGGTGGGGAACCTGCTTCTCCCTCTGCCTCTGCCTCTCTCTCTCTCTGTCTCTCATGAATAAATAAATAAAATCAT